GATTTTAGACTACTTTTTATCGAAATAAGTTACTATACAAGTTAGCAAAGCAATTGACAATCATATGAAAAGCTTATTAAAAAAAAAAAAAAAAAAAAAAAAAAAAAAAATTATGAATTCTCATACAATTTTAATAAAAATTTTACAATAATAATAGCTATTATAATTAATAACGATTACAATAATAGTAACAATAATAACATGAATATACTGCTACTAGAATGTAAATTATTAGTTACAATCGAATATTATAGTATTTTTAGTAGATTTTTATATTTTCAAACTTAATTAAAGTAACATTCATATATTAATATTCAATTATTAATTAATTAGAAGGCAATGGTGCATTGTACAATATTCTCAAATATCATTACATATAAATAATTTAATATTTTCGTTAACAACAAAATAAGTAATAATTTAAGCTATTATAATCGCAGAATACCGAATAAACTTTTAATAATGCTACTTTAAATAAATTCCAATTAAATAAATGATAAAAATAATATTACGATGATTTTATCTTGCATTTAACACCTTTTAATTTATTACATAAACTGCATCTTCATGACATATTTTTCTTCTCATTTTAATCGGACTTGTATATGTTTTTTCTTGAAAATAAGTCTGATTAAATAAATATCTGAAATAAATCATGTATAAGTTTTTTTATGTGATGATTAAATGTGTCAAGTGAGGTGCAAGCTAACAATCTCAGCTCATCGTGACTAATTATCCACATGTGAATTATAAGATTGCATTGAGAAAATAAAAGGTAATTCGAGAATATGAAGAAAATGTGGTAACATTCGTTTTTTATAAGTTATTTTTGTGCGAACTGTAAATATTCTCGTTTATGTTTTTATGGAGAAAAGAAATGAAAAAATCAGGCAGAGTTACTGGAATTGGAAATGGAACTGGAGTTACTCAGAACGTCTCTCAGAGTCTCAGCTGCATTTCAAGGGGGTTGTGTATTTGTGTGTTTCTGAAAATACGTGTAACAATGAACAAATCCAAGTTAAGCAACGCTTAGCTATTTTATTGTTATTGCCTAGTATCTATTGTATTGTATTTGAGGCTCCCAATCGAATCTTAGAATCTACTTCCGGATGATTAGTTACTTGAATCTAGAACTACGGGCTTGAATTGGGGCTTAATTTATTCGACTATTCCTAAAAAAATATACATAAACAATATACTCGATTAGATTTTCTTTACAAAATAAAAAAAAAAAAGTGAATGAAGATGTGGTTCACATAAAATTAGTTAGTTATGCTTCTTAATGAATTTTCTCCTTAATGTAAAATAAAAATAGTATTTATACATATTATGCATTAGAATATTTTTTACAATTTTTTTTAAAAAGTTTTAAATTTCATTTATATGTACATACAAGGGTTTGTGCGCGCGCCTCTATGCGTGTGCATGTGTACCTATTTTCTTGTACGTGTTATGTATGATTCTAGATAAAAGTTTATTAAGCTTATTTTAGCTTTATGCATAGATACAACAATTCTTCATTCTTATTAAATATATGATATTACATTTATTTCTATGTATGTTAGATTCATATATTTCTACTATTTTATAACTTGCTTCGATAAAGAATATTGTCCAATATAATCGTCCATAAAATAGAAATTAAACGTGACTTTTGAACTGAAGCTAACGTTAATTTATCGAAATATGATTTAGCGGACAAAGTGAAGCTTCCAATATGATTATTAATTAAAAATATTAAATAATTTTGTAATTGTTTTAAAAGATTTGTAATATTATTTAAATTTCTTAATATTCATGAAACAAATCTAATGTATGTATATATATATATATATATATATATATATATGCACATACGTTATATCAAGATTCTTTAAAATCGATTTTATGTACAAACATGAATACTCTATATTGAATAATATCTTTGTGTTAAATTTATAAATAAAAGGATCTGTTTAAAATTGAACTAAATTTTTTTCAGCTATTTATACAGTATTATACAGATAGAATCAAAACGACTACATTTTTTAATCTAAATAAAATATATATATCTCATATATTATGTAATATTGAGTAGATAAGGTTGTTCTTTAATAAATGTATATGAAATAATATAAAAATATAATTTAGTCAAGATTTCACAAATATTTTATTAAATATTCTGTCAGATTTTAATTTTTATAATATTTACTTTAACTAGATTAACGCACGTATATAAAATTTTGTCTTATCGTACAGGATTGAGGAAATTGCGCACGTGCCTCGTGTACATACATCTACACCGATTTTTTCCACTCTCGCATTTCTTCTCTTTTTCATATACATACTTTCAATTCCTTCCTGCATATGTAGTTGTATCTTGATTTGCAAAATATATAACGTACAATAGTTTTATTATTTAAAAAATACATTAATGCATTATTTTCGAATATATTGCAATAATATAAAATGTATTTATAAGATAATTGGCAACCAATTCCTTTTTTAATGCATTGGAGAAAATTGTCATCTTACAGCATTAAATGTTTACGTAGGCTTGAGGAGAAAATATACCGTATTATTTTTATTATTAATGGAATATTTAATATAATATATGGATTTCATTTAAAATTCTATATTCTTATTACTTTATACCCTTTTCTTCTTTTCCTTTAATAGATATGGTTTTATTTTGACTCTTTTATTGTATGATATTGAAAATTGCTCTAAACAAGCATATTTTCTTACCAATATACCACATTATATGAAATTTAATTGGATTGTAACAAAATGACAACTAAAATAATATTTTTTAATGCTGTTAATTTCAAATAATAAATACTTTAGATATAATATCCATATCATTGCTATAAAATAAAATTTTTTTCTTGTTTCCTTCAAATAAGAAAGAGTAATCATAACGCAGTTTTATGCAAGTTCAAACCTCGATACTGCATAATTTTTCACAAACATTACATCATGTATTTTTTTACTTAAATTGATTTAATTGTTAAACTTATACGAATTTTTTATTTTTATTTAAATATGTTATACTATTTGATATATAATTGGAAACAAACAAAATTAAATATTTAATGTAAATTAAATTGTACATATATATATATATATATATATATTTTTTTTTTTAAGGTAATATATATATATATATAGTTATATGCTGATACAACTCTAAGCTTACTTGTTGTTTACACACAAATAACATAAACAAACATTAACGCTGAGAACATTAAAATAATTTATTAGAGAATTTATCTTATAGTTGCAAATATAACAAAGCAATGATTATCATATATTATAGCTTGCCACAATATAATTATAAAAGCCGTGCATATTTGACACACTCAAGGATTTGAATATGTTTCAATAATACATGTGAATATTAAGAATATTAATTATTTATATAATCGCATAATGAATAAGAAAATACCATTTGAAGTTATTATAAATAAGATATTATTTATCAAGAAAAATTATAATTAGTAATAAAATTACATCAAATAGAATTTTAAAATAAAATTATTTATTAATTGAAACATTTTATTAAAAAATGTACATGAATTAATTTTTTAACAAAATATATTATAAGGTACTTGCTACAATTTTGTCAAAACAAATCCCATGGTTTTAACCTTTTCAACTATTAGTATCTATACACATGTCTAAGTATTTTCCAAGATCCTAATATTCTATCTTGTGCTTAAAATTTCTGTTGATATAAATCAACTTCCTTCGACTCCTTAATCTGTTTTGGTTGGATGTGTGATCCGAGAACGGAATTAAAGCAGAAATTATTGATTCTGTTCGAGATTGCGAGAAAAGTTTCTTGCCTCGACTTCTCACGATTGCTGGTCATTCCAGACGGTTAATACATCTGGAAAACTCCAGTGAATAGTTAGCTTATTTATTCTTACTTATCTAAAAACGTGCTCATGCTTTTCCGGTGCAGTAAAAACTAATATGTTGTTTACTGTTAAGACGACATAGATTCTGATAGAGTATCAGATATACGTAAAATATCGAGTACAAACATTTCCTAAATTTCGCTGCAACCCAAAACCCAGCACGTGCGACAACAAGCAATAGGCGTACGTGTGCACACGGCTTCTTAAGGCAATCCTTGCATTGTTCTTAACTACGCCGCATCTTGCCGATCGCATTGGAAGATCGACGACCACGATAATGTATAGTGCATTAGTGTAATGATTGTGTAATTGTTACTACACTGAGGCAAAACTGAGCTTAAATATTATCGCATTATTTCTTAAACGCCGATGTTTGTTACCATGACGTTATTGGTTGTAACGTGATAACGGTTATAACGTCAACAGGGCATAGCCTGGAACGTTCGTTGCTAGTGTTTTATTTAAATAACTGAATTGCGCATTCATACCTCTCCCACTTTCGACTTTCAAGTTTTTAATCCGTAACAGTACTATTAATTTATTAACAGAAAAAATTTGAAACCAACATAAACTTTCTAATATTATATTTTTAATGTTCAATAAATATTCACAAAACTAATTTATTTGTAATCAAAATTTGTTTTATATTTTGACTTCGTATATGAAAATTCGCGCTAATAAAAACGATGCATTTCAAAATAATATGTTTAATTTTTATATAATTCACTTTTAAATGAATGATTTTAAAATCTTCAATTTATACAAACAATTAAATTGGTTTCTAAACTAACCAAATTGCTATTATTAATTTTTTTATATATATTCAATAAATGTATTGAATAAATGCCTTTAAAAAGTCAGAATATTATAATTCATAAAGAAGAAGAGAGAGCACTGTAATTAAATTCATAGTTTATATATTCTTATAATATTAAAATATTTTAGGATTTATAATAGACTGTTTTGATGTACGTTAAGCTCTTTAATATTGATATTAAAAATCGCGATGTGTCGGTACTAACATAATCGGTGTACTAATAGTTAAAATCATTTTTTGATGAGCTTAGTGTACTTCACCTTTAATCTCTTTCAACTCACCTCCATGTTTTCAGCATGAGTGCACCATAAGTTAATGAGAAGCCTATCTCTCTGAGCCAAACACGTACTGTGCATGTAAGGACATTTGGTCGTGGATACATGACTATTGTCTATAGAGAGTGAAAATATTCTTATTTAAATTTTATTAATTTATAAATTTTATTAATTTACTAAAGATTTTTTAACTCAAAACGAAAGCTGAAAAGTATTTATATTCATATATCAATAATATTAATATTATAAAATAAAATTTTCAAATTAAAATATTACAATATATTATTTTCATCTATACAAGTCATCAAAACAATATATTTTATTTGTTTACATATTTCATCGATCAAATTTTTATCGAGTTACTATGCGTAATATTAGAGTTTTTTTTTTTTTTTTTTAGTTAAAATGTTTTATAAAAAAAATAGATCTAAGAAGTTTCTATTATAACGAAATGGTTAACAGTATATGCAAATGTAATGGATTAAAAAACAAGTTCTATAATCTTGCTACGACTCGTCAGTATAGCGTTGATGTAGTGGAAGTTTTAATAGTATAGTACTCGGTACAACATCCAACATACCAAATAATTTCACTAAATGTAGTATCAAGTATTTTAGTATCATGAAATAATGGTAACAAGCAAAATTGGTTATACTGAAGAACGATAGACTGGATTGGATAAATTAAATAATATTGCTGGGGTGACTTGACCAATATGCTATAAACTTTCATTATTTTGTTGGGTTTAACCATAAATACAATGACGTACGTACTTATTTTAGGCAATTGCATATAAACACTTATTTTAAATGAGAAAATTGATTTATATCGATTAAAGTTTGGAAGATCGGCGACGTAATCAAAGTAGTTTGACGGTTTTCCTGTATTTCATGGAATTATCTATATTGGTGGAATGTAATTTTTGTTAATTCTTTAAAAGCTATAAGTGCAGTAAAAACTATAGTAATATAACGTTATAAAATTAAAAAAAATATATGTAAAAAATTTATTTATAGTATTTGTTTATAATATTATCTAGTTTCATTAGTAAAATGATACAAATTATTACTAATAATCTCGAACCTCACCTTCACAAAATCTGTTTGGCTTCCTTAGACTATATTAACCAGTTCTTGTTTTTATGTTGGCGCTTGACGAGAGTTAGTTTAAATATTTATAACGGTATAAATATATAAATATAAGTTTATAGTATAACAAGAAACTCCTTGCCAGTAACAACTCTATGATATCTTAGGAATTGCAACTTGATATATTGTACAAAACTGTACGTATCATTATGTTAATCAGCAAATATTATTTATTGAAATGATTATAAGGATATAATGAAATAATTTTATGTAATATAACATGATAGTGATTTCTAAATAATAAACCAGATGGTGCTCCCTCTTTATATGTCACTTTTTTATTCTTAAACAATTATACATACTTAGCTTCCTTGATCAATGTTAATAAAAATTTTACTAATAAACTAGAAATTTATGATAATTAACTGGAATATCATACGCATTATTCGATACAGTTTTATAACTTAAATTGTTACTAATTAAAAAAAATACTTCCGAGATAGCTTTAAGAATATTATTTAATATGGTATTAAAAATTTTATAATATTTGGAAACATAAATTATAGAATAATATTATTACGTCTTTTAAAAATATTCAGTTTGGCGATCAAAATCGTAAAAAATATAAAAAACAATTTTTTAATAGTTTAATAATATATAGCTGTAGATATATAATTTAATAACAATACATTTTATCAATCTTGTTTTTTAGACAATCTAGGAGATGTACATTATTTTGATGGGATAGCAACAAATATCAATTTACTCCATTAGTAATTCCTCTAATACAGTACAATAATATAAATAATTAAATATAATAATATTATTCATAAATTATATAATTTATATAATATTACATAATCTATTATTAAAAATAAAAAGAATTTATTATAATAAGCGCTAAGTATGGAGTTAATGTTTAATGAAGCCTTACTTAGCCTCTCTATTTTGAATCATCATATTTTTAATTTTACTATTTCTAAAAAACAAAACTAACTATTTACAAAAAAAAAACACTAATAAATTTTTTTTTAAACCAGTCCTTTTATATAACATATTCTGCATTCTCTGAATACTCGATATGCTCAAAATTACTTTTATAACAGATCATAAAATAAACGATATATCGACGGTGGACGGTCTATGAAATATGTAAAAAAAATTTATGCCACTCATATTAATATATAATTACAGCATTTTGAACATAAAATTTAATATTTATATATGCCGTATAATTTCATATAGATTTTTCAAATGAAATCTGTTGAGATTCAAATTTTACATGTCATAACTAATAAAAATTTAAAATTACAATTTACATATTTCATAGATTTATATGCTTTCATAAAATAAATATATTAATATAAATTTTTTTTAGCAGATATTATACAAATATCTATTTCACTTTTTAGACTGTTTGTTATTAATAATTTAAAGCTTAAATTCTAATAGTTTCATTACATTTACGTATAAATTCATTTTATATATTTCTCGAAAATAAAAAGCTTTACATTTTGAGATAATTAGGACAGAATTATCTATAAAATTATTGTTTCGATAATCTTATTACACTAGAGTTATTTTTATTTTTTTCAAAATTTTTTTAGTTATTATTATTATAAAATATATTTTCAATATTTCTTATAAGGTGCTAACAAATGTTTTTTCCATCTATGCTATAATATCTGCGAACAAAAATATAAGCACAATGTGTAAAACTGATATTGAAGTTGAACAATTTGCAGGCACGATTTGCAATATTCTATGAGCATATGAATTTCTAAATTTATATTAAAATTTTTTCTTTTATACTAATTATTATTTCTTCTATGATATTTGATTATTAATTAATATAAAAACATGTCTGAATTTTTAAAATATATTATGATCAAATTTTTATTATATATATGATGATTAAATATACTTAAATATACGATGAAATATATTATGAAGTATAATCCCTAAATTTTGAAGAACTGAATTCGCTTAAAAAAAAGAATTATTAATAGATTATCATATTAATTTGAATAATTGAAACATTGTATAACTGCATATTTTAAAACAATTGAAAAAAAAAAATTCGACCAATATAAACTTGCAATCGAATTTAGTAGTATTTATGCTTATATCAAGTATATTAAAAATATTTACTGAAAATTTATTCTGATATATAATAGTTTTGTTACAAATTTTGTATAAAACTCAACCTTTATATGAAACAATCAAATATACGTAGCAGCATAAATTTTTTCTGATTATAATTTCATTCAGTCTTAACGATGTTTTTATGTAAAGAAATATCTAGATATAAGTTGAAAATATACAAAAAGGATATTGCAAAAATAATATTACATTTAATAATAAATTAAATTTGAAATTGCATAACAAAAAAACCGTTTCAGATTAGACATAAATTTATAATAGGATTGAAGAAGTTGTAAAAATAGAATAAAAAATTTTTTACTATCATATATCTATGAATAATAAAAAAAAAGACCGATATGATGATATATAGAAATACTAAGTTTTATTCATAATTGAAAAAAATATATATAAGAAACGATAATAGTTTGGAAAAATGTTAATTTAATCTAAATAAAAAGATAATGTACGTAAAATTGAAGAATATAAAAGAGAAAAAAAAGTTTGAAAGTTATATTTCTTAAGAAAGAAAGACTGAAATATAAATTTATAAAAGTTGAAGAAAATCAATTACACAAATTTTTAAAGAAGAAAAAGATTTTTAACTCAAAGAAAATAATGGATGAGAAAAAATAATGAAGAAAAATTTATCGAATAAATCACAATGCTGTTGAAGGATAAAAAAAGAAACATAATTAAAATAAAATGGAAGTTAGAGCTACAATTTAAAAATGCAGCCAAAGAAAGGAGGGATAGAACAATTATCCAATTTTGTCCTAGGTTCAATTTATTTCAATTAAATAGAAAATAAAAGCTTTTCTTTGAAAAGAAAACTGTAATTGAATAAAAAAAACTTTTAATATTAATAACTAAATATTAGAACTGAATTATAAATGAAATTATAAAATAATGTCATAATAAACATAAAGTAAATAGTATTTTTATTTAAGAATATTTAACAGTATAATAGATATAAACATTATTGCTAAATATTGTGAAGGATTTATCGTTAGAAATAATAGCATAGTAAAAAGCTAAAAAGAACCAATATTAAATATTCGTCGAAAAAGCAATAAGATATTGAGCAAGAATTATAATATAACCGTAATTTAATTTAAATATATTTTAATAAAATAAATAGTTTCAAATTTATAGTCAAATAAATTAAATTTTAAACGACAAAAATTAAATAGGTATTTAGTTTTTTAGTAAAAAATTTACGTGCAAAATAAGAAAACCTAAAATTTACTGGAAAAATGCGAAGATGATAACAAAAACATTACAAAAAACCACGAAATGAAATAGAATTAGAAAAAGATTTTTTAATGTTTTTAGGAAAACAAATTAATCAAGTAACGATATCATTTTATCTAGAATCTTTTTTATTTAGGATTGTATGACATTGATAAAACCCTAATAAAAGCATAAAATTTACAAATGACCTACACGTTTATTTCATACAATAAACAACATTTGTAATCAGCATTATGTAACTTACATCGATATAATAACAACGATCGCTTTTTTAATTTTAAGTAAAACAATTTTAATAGATTAAAATATCGAAAATTAATTTATAAAACTGTTATTTAATGAATATAAAATTTAATGAATATAGTTAAAGATAACTAACGTGGTTAATTTTTCTATTATCATAGTTCTATGTATTTTATCAAATTTAATTTACTAAATATGAAAAGTGAGAGTAAATGGAATATTGATTGCCAGTAGCTTTATTATGGCTATATAATTTAATTATTGGTTATTTAATTATTTTTAAAACAGTATATTTAAAGTACACTCTCTGTATATCGAGATACATGAATATTGTAAATTTTTAAATTTGTTATCATTATCAAAACAAATATATCTATAAAATTTTATATGTTTAGGTAAACATACTTGATTATAATTACAAATGTATATATTTCTAATGTTGATGGTTATATCCAGATTCGATGAAGCTAAATAAAAAGTAGTATGGAATCATGTAAAATCCATTATGTACATTTATATACAAATAAAAATGGTACATTAAAAATAAATATAAAAAGATAAGGTATCCTTAAAAAGAAGCAAAATAGATTTTATTTAAAAATATAAGTAAAATAAATAAATTTTATATATTTTTTTTTCAAAGGCTTGTAATTTTTTTAATATTAGCATTTCACTTTATCATATATATGAAAAGTAATATAAAATAATAATCAAAAAGTTATTAAATTCTAAATATGATTTAATTTTTAACTCATAGTAATGAGAAGATTTAATTAAGAAGTAAAGTATTACATGAAAATTTTCTTTGAATATTTAGAAATCGATATAATTTTTATATTTATAAAAATTTATTACAATATATAAAAATGTTAATGGCATTTTTATTCAGTAGCAAATTAAATTTAGTAACTTCTGTTTTTGGAATACATTCACATTTTTTAACTAAAATATACTTTTTTCCAAAGCTTATTCTCATATTATAAACTGAGCATTATATTCGATATTTGATTAACGCCACAGACACGAATAGAAATTATGTTCAATAATTCGATTAAAAAGACAATTACAATATAGATTTTTCATTTTTCACATTAATCCGTAATCAATCAGATTTAAAATGTTGAATAGGCATTACTAAAATAAGGAATAGGTAAAATCATTTTTTTTAATTATTTAAAATTTACAAATATTATAACTTTCTATTAATATTCTGGTATTTATATTGAAGATATAAATACACACACACACACACACACACACACCGAAGTTATGCAATTCACATAAAAAGTCATGCAATTTTTTAAGAACTTAGTTTGAAATCTATAAATAAATAAATATATATATATATATATATATATATATATATATATATATATATATATAACTTGCAAAACTAAATGTAACAACTATTTACAAGTAATTTCTTAAAAAATTGTATGACTGTTTATGTGAATTGCACAACTGCGCTACGTTAGAACTCAATAATGAGACAAAATTTATTCAGTACTTCACCGACACAGTCTTTTAAATTGGGCGTTGACTCCATATTTCATATTGCACTTTCCATTGTATTGCGTCAAACAGTTTTTCGTACATCGGAAGAAGCTGTACGCTTGCAATTACATAAACTATGATTGAACCACCACCCCGTTAACCTTCGTATAACTAGGGTGACATAAATATCTTTCTGTATGAGGTCTCAACTGCTGCAGGTCGATAACAAACATTTTCCCGCGAGGCATATATTCGTTGCGTATTTGCTTAAAGTACTTATGTCGTATATATAGCCTCATCAAGTACTTTTTTAGTATTAATATACAACAAAGATTACAATTTTATTTGTTTAATTTAATCATACGTATTTTTCAATTTGAAATTTAATAATTTTAATAATTCAAAAATACAAGTTTTAGAATTGTAGAAATTTTAAAAGACTTAAGCACTCTTGTGATTTAGCTCTAACCTTTACCAATTATCGTAATAACAATGAAAATAAGTATTTTCTATTTTTTCACAAGAGAAATCTAGATTTTTCCCATAAATATATGCATTCACCTTCATAGATGGGAAGCATTCATTTTGCATAATTAAAAACAAATAGATAAATTTTTACTATTCATTTATAAAATTTATATCATTTTTCATATAAGTAATATAATATGAATGTCTGTGTTTATGTTTCAATTATGAAAAAGGCTCGAATAAGGAACTATAGTATATGTGTATCAGTAATTAAATTGAAAAAAGAACATTTGCTACGTAAATGAAGAGTACAGAGTTCGTTTATCGACTTAGTAAGGTTTCGCGTATTTTGTCTCAAAGGCTTACATCATTTTATGTAAAAAATTTAATTTTTAAATTAAAGCTACTTTTATGAAACTTATTCAAATGCAAATGAATTATAGTAGAATTATTGGAACTAATGGATTTTTTCTCATGAATTAAAAAAAATTTCTCATGAATACAATTGTTATGAAATAACTTAATTTTTTCATGTAATAAATGATTTAGAATAAAGTTTTAAAAACCTTTTTATAATAAACATAATTTATAACAAACAAAATACGGGATAGTCTACTTAAACCGGATTAATTTTTTTGAATATATGTTTGTAAATAAAATTTCATAATATAAAATTTGCAAAAATAAATTGTAATATTACGACGAACTTGTAAATAGTATTCAATAGTACATAAGTAATAAACTAACAAGAATTATTATTAAAAAATACTAAAATAGTAAATTATAAAAAATGTAAAATGAAAGCGCAAAATGGCTAAGCTTTTTCTAACAGATTAAATCAAATGGATAAGTTATAAAAATTCTACTATTCAATGAACAGAAACAAAAAAAGTTTTTGAGGCAGTTAATACTGAGAAACGATTACTGTTTCATGACTAGAAAAGAATAGAGACAATCTCGGAACTTTAAAAAAAAAAACAAATGTATCGGAAAAACAAAAATTATCATGTATCATGAAGAAAATAATGACTGGGAATCACATGTGTATGTCACAAAAAATAGTGAAATACTGATAGGACCTAAAAAATATTTTTATATAAATGCAAAAATGTTTGAAGGATATTGGAATTCACAGATAAAAGGATAAAATTTGAAATATAAAATATCGAGTATCATTTTTTACGTATCAAACATATTATTTCAATACTTTAAATATTCTTTACATTATTTGATGAATAAATAAATAATTAAATATTTTTTTCTTTTTTCTTTTTTATATTCACAATTTACTTTTTAAGCAATATCAAATTAAATTATTAATAATTATTATTAATAAATAAATATTATTAATAAATTATTAATAATTATTATTAATAATTTTATATCCCATATAAACGTGCGTAAATATTTGAAAATATACATGATGAATTTCCATCATTGTAATTCGCATTAGTAGAAATAAACATATTTAATATAAAGAATAATAATATAACCGAATAATTCAATTTCTTATAAAAGATGAACGATATAATAGTATAATTTAAATAGATGTTATAATTTATTTACGATTATTCCTTTCAAATATATTTTAACAAATAGGTTGTTAAAAATCATGAGATAAAAATAAATAATATTAAAACATATATAATGAACAATTTTAATCATCTAATTGAATGAAATAAAAATTAATGAAAATGCGTACAAATTATGATCTACTAGAATTATTAAAAAAAGTAAGTTTATAAATGTGATAAGTATATATTTTATTACTTAATTATATGTAAAATCGAAAGATTCAAATTTTCATATAACTTATTTTAAATCGTTCAATACTATTTTTACAATCTGAATTGAATTATGAATAATTTGCAAGTATTTCTGGAAAGTAATTATTACATAATCAAGGCCTCTATTAAAAAATAAATTTCTATTAATTCCACAACTTTTATCAATACTTTATCTTAAATATAATCAAATTTAATTTTAATTGCAAAAAACTATACAATAACTCATAAAATAACTTTATGATAATATAATATTGTGATACATTAAATATTTATTACAATGTTTTATTAGATATTATAATAATCTATATACTACATTAATATAATTACAATTAATTTGTAATTATATTATTATTATATTATTATATTATTATTATAATTATTGTTAATATATTATTATATATTATATTATTATTATTAATACATTATTATAATAAAATAATTATACAATATAATTATTACATTTAAAATGTCCGTAATTCTTTGAACAATGAAATGATGAACAGAATGTAGCAAGAATAACTCATTTGCTTTTGCCTACGCAAGAAGTTGAAATTCGGCTGAACAAGGAATAAATTTTAATAAATTAGGAATCAGGCTGACAATATTACGTTATTTTATTTCTACTTTTACCTAATATTTTATTTAAACAATTACGTATGTTTTATTATTCGTTAAAAACTTTAAAATATTCTCAAATCTTTTAATATATTGACTCATAATAACAACAATGTTTGTTAACGAACTTTTAAGCGTCAAAGTGTGTTACATTTTCAGCGCATAAATATTGACGCAGTAAGAATTGCAAATATGGTTTCTTGTTGCTTGCATATTTTGATAACCTATTATAAATAGGATATTATAGAATATTTGTATTTTCATTATTATTTATTCACTTTCTTTAATGAAACATGAAGTAACTATAAACATATATTACAAAGATTTTCAAAGATGTAAGTATTTTGAATTAAATATATATCTGAATTGATAGAGTGAAAAATATATTTATAAAATTTTCGTATAATTAAAATTACAAGTACTTTGCTACATTTTTCACAAATATCATTAATAACTATATAAATATTCTTACTTTTTAAAAAAATTCTTTATATAATTAGTAGTTAAATTTTATTTAATTATCTAAAGAATAATTGTTAAATAATTTACTTTGCAGATATATTTACATTTAATGTAATTAATTAAACTCTCCTACTTCTAAAGTATATTTTTCCTTTTATCTTTATTCTTATAAAATAAGCGGAATGCATTTTAAATTAAGTTAAATATTTATTATAAAATTCATAAAATACATTTAAACGACAAATTCTAATATATATATGAATATATAGAATGAAATTTATATTGGTATTAACTATATAATGAAAAATATTTAATAAATAATAATTAACGTAATTTTGTAACTACTAGTAGTTATATAATTAGTATAATAGTATTTACTTACTGTACAATAAATGAAAAAAGCTCCAAGAACAATGACGCGTAATAAAACTGGACTTGCAGCTCGGACTACCTATAAAGTACAAAAATTATTGTTTAGATTATTGTTATAAATAAGTATTTCAAAAATAGAAATAAATGACTGTTTGTCTTTGAAACTAAACTAAATTACGTGATAATAGTTGTTTATTTGGTAAAAATTTGCTCCAAATTACCTTAACGTTACCGTATTTCCACGTAAAAAGTACAACAGCAGGGAGACATGCGATAACGCAACATTCCAAAATGAGAATAGCAGTTCTCATAAGCCAGTTGAGAGAAACTACACACGGAGAACCATCTTCACATGATTCGCAACCTTCAGCACACGGTAAGCATTCGAAAATTCCCGTTATAGCGTACTGACTTTCTTCTCCCTAAAATAATAAAATTATAATACATATAAGAAAAATATAATAGCATTTCAATATGCACACATTAACTTTATTTAAAGGCAATAAATACACTATCCAAGTACCAACGTATATATCACCAATACGAAAAATATGAAATTTTGTTATGATCTTAACGATGCTAATTTACATATATTTTAATATACCAAGAATATTATAATAGATATTTATACACACCACACACGCGTGAGTGCGCGCTCTAGTTTCAACCGTATAAGCCAAGAGTGTTCTATACATAGTAAGGACATTCAGTTTGAAGTCGATCTCCCTTTACGGGATAATGCCCATTTAATTGTTTATAATTAATTATAAATCTAACTTTATAATAATATAATAAAAATATGAAGTTGTTTCTATAACACATTCTTTTGTATTTTTTCAAAAGGATACAAAATGTATGAATTTTTTACGAATACGGTATTGTTATACTTTGACAAAGAAATATATGTCACTACACATGATTATATAAAGAAACACTTATGGAAATTTATAATAATTTATAATTTTTTTAAAGTGATACACTATTGAAGGATAAGATGAAAAATGAGAACGTTTTCATGAAAAACTTTCTATAAAATTAAAAGTATTTGATAATTTTCAAAAATTCCTATATAACTCTGTACAATGTTATATCAAATACTTGACTGAAATGTCAATTTATCATCTTGTAAAAATATTATTAAAACAATAAGTATGTATTATTTTTTTGTGACCATGTAGAAAATATAATATTAGTATAATTAAAAGTACAAGCCTATTAGAATATTTAAGTTAAGAAGCTGATTTTTAAAAACATTTTAATCGTTTGTGTAGTTCATGAGAAGAAAATTAATTTCGAAATAGCACATTAATAATTGTACGCAAAAAATAAAATAGAAGATTTATATCATTCCTACAAAAATTGATTTTATTTGATTATAAAAAGATTGCAACATCAATAATAATGATTTATCTTAATAAATGTAGAAAGTTAATTAGAAAGGCTAAAACAGAGAAAAATTTGTATCGAAAGATAATTAATACAATAATATTATTTTTAGTTTCATATAAACAATTTATATTTATCAATATCGGAATTTTTAATTCAAATATTCCATGTTTATAATTACAAATATATTTTTACTATTTAAATGTAATCCTGATATTAATATATATACATTACATCATTATAATAGTACAAAACATATAATTTAATAAGTAGTACATAGTACTCAAAATAATATAAAAGTAAGAATAATTGGTCAAAAATCCTTTTCCTTAAATATTAATAATTTCAATGCTTTGATGTCAGATTTAATTTGTATAGAAATGTAAATTATTTGCTATATCTTTAAGCTAGATGCAAAAACAAGTTAATGATGTGTAACAAAAATTATTCTACAAATATTTCAAATATGTCAGGTAATAAATCATGACGATAAAATAACAATAAAATACATATATTTTGTGTTCCACGTCGTTAATTACATTTACTATGTGGCTCCTGAAATATAGAGGAGCATAATGAAGGCAAGCGACTACACTTTTTATTTTTTGATCATAGCCATTACCTTTAGTCAAATGTAGAAAAAGTATTGGAAGATAAATGCATGAATCGTGCATAAAAGATGTCTACAAAAATATTAAGAAAAGTGTACCTCGAAAATATTGAATTTCAAGGCAATTACCAAATAGATCAAAATTTAGTAATTTTTTATACTATGAATAATATATTAATATTTATTTTACTGAATTTTATTTATATTAAATTTTGTGAAATGTAATGTGAACATTTTTGTCAATATTTACCGATGAACTGTAGTTTTTCATATTGAAGTCATAATTTAAACACGTTGTTACTAAAAAAGACAATACTTTTAAAAAGCGTTATTCAAATTATGCTTATTGCTTGGTAGAAATTGCATACAAACATTTGATTGGCAAGTATTGTCAGTTGATATGTATTCAATATTTATTTTGTCATTAGTTTAAAGTTTTATAGTAATGAAATAGCATATATAGAAAGAATTGTAATAAATTTTTAGTTATTTACTTTGATATTGTGTATGGTGATTAGTGTCAATCAATTAATTTTCTTATCCTTCTGACATAAGTAGTATATTTACAGTTAACGTGATAATTGATATAGTATATGTAATTAAATATATAATATTTATAGTAAAAGTATATCGATTGTAAAAAAGTTGATTCTATAGAAATTTTTAAAGATAATTATCTAATATTTTTTCCTGCTTTGTTTTTTTGATTGCATTTATTGTTATGACTCACAGTTGCTGTTGGCTATCAATTAATAATTGAATTTATTAATAAAATAATAATTCTATGATAAGCAATACTTGTTGATTAATATAAACAACTGTATATTACTGTATTCAATTGGCCATAAAGTACGGAGCGACCGCAGATTGAACATTCATGGAATACGTACTTAAATCGAGCAAGTTTCAAATATTGTCTCATAACAATATTTATGTAATAATACTTAAGCGGATTGTTGATTGTTGAAAACTTCCCATTACGGATGGTACGTGACACAAGATTTTAGGTTGGTGATATTAAAGGCACGTTTCCGCTTATATGCAGCTGTTAATTCTAATTGATGGCAAGACATAACGGACAGCTAGAATTTTACTGTAGCTTTGGTTCTTGGGTATATAAGATGATATATATATATATATATTGATTTGCTTGCTATTTGTCTCAAAACCATTGGTATATCTTGTAGTAAATATAATAATATAATATAGAAGAATTTATAATTAATATAAAAGGTTCTTTTTTTTTGTGCGCTATCGCTAAATGCTAACAAATATATGGAAACATTTAAATGCTTTACATAATTTACGGAATACATCTTAATATAAATGATACATGAAATTATGTCAATGGAATATAAATTGTCAATCAAATATAATTTGATTAATAAAATATATTTATACTATATCGTATGATATTATATGATATGTTTGTACTTTATTGTATAATATTATATAATATGTTTGCACTATGTTATATTTAATATCGATCAAGTATTCTATAAATCGTTAGATGTTTGCCTTTTCGTTTACACTTCGATGTACTTTACACGTCAATTCAGTCAAGTGTAACTCGAGTAGAAGCCTTACTTAAGGTACAGAAAAGCTCATTTTACTTTCAGTTAACAGACTTTTATCCTTTTTATGACACTTTCATTAAATATAAAAGCAATCCTGGATAGTGTCAGACATATTTATTCAATATCGATTTTCTCATTATTCTGTATGAATAAGTTCTTCAGTAGCGGCTATTTCCCTTTCTACTCTTATTTATCGCTGATATAGATATTTATTGTATTATATCTAATTTTATGTGTTATTTGCATATGTAAAAAGCATCATAAATTAAACGCCGAAATGTAAAAGTGACATTAAATATATTAGCTAAAATTCAAAATGCTTATTCGTCTTTATTATTTCCCGCGCTTGATTAAAAACTTATCGTTTATCGTACTTCACCTAAATGAATGTATAGATGCGTGCCTACAGATAGATATTTTCATTCGTATGAAATATTTGTCTATTTAGTTTTTATCCACTCAGTACATTGTATCCAAATCATAAGTAATTAATCTATTAATATTTCTGTTCATTACTTTTGTATTATTTTCATTGCATTAACTATACTTATTTATATTAACTACAATTAATCAAGTGTCGTGTATCATTCAAAAGAATTCAGCAAGGTTTCATTAAAACTAAAATATATTCGAGAGAAATAACTTACTACGAAGAACGGTACATTTTCAACCATGTTTGAGCTCAGTCCGAACTTTAAGTTGAATAACCATCTCCTCATTCTTCCTTTAGGCTTTAATGCAGATACCATACAGGTGTTGCCGGTCTTGCCCTATCCTCAATCTTACAGCATAAGCTTCTCCATTTTCGCGGATATGAACACTATACAGGTGTCTTAGACGGTAATTGAGCTTAATTTGAATTAAAAGTTGAACAAGGTTCCATTCCCTTCCCTATGCTTTGCAGAAACCGAGGGAATATTCTCCACTGTGCTCCGAGGCAGATGCCACTTAACGTAACCCAAATTGGTCTGTCTTTACCTCGAGGCCCAAGATGCAAAAGTTTTCCTGTTTGCATTGAAAAGAGTGGAATTAGGACTTACACACACTAAAAAATTACTGCTTCAAGGAATGTATGGTAAAAACACTTTAAACAGAAAAATTATCGCTTACGCAGTGATAGTTACTAGTTTCAAGAGCCCGAAGAATGCCCAATTTCAAGAAATATAGTGCATATATCACATCTGCTTTGAAGAAGAAAAATCTCGGATTATAGATATAATCACCTGATAAGAAGTACTTGTTATAAAAGTGGCGCAGACAGTCCTTTCGAGTTAAAAGCTCGAGTGATAATTTCTCACTTCTTATCTTTCTTTAGAACGACAAAATATCCAATTTTATACCTACCATTCTCATTATCATAACATTCTGAAAAATAAGCAGAGAATATCGTTTCTAATCATTATATTTTATAAACTAAATTATTATCAAAACTTATTTGCTATTTTCTACATAATAATTTGACTATTTTAATATCGATTTACATTATATTCTTTATACTGTATCCCTCCGCTAATGGAATATAATATTTGATTTTTTAATTTGGTTACCATCGATCGATCACAGCAATATGTGTTTTATTATTTCATAAAACTCGTTTCAATTTTGTTACAAAATAATCCAAATCTATCAACTTCAAAGACATATTATAAATTAATTATTTACAAAAATGTTTCATATTTAATTATTACTTAATAAAATTTTTTTAAATTAATCAATAAATTTAAGTAATCATTATTTTAATTTATATCATTTTCATTAACTTTTCGAATACACTTCATCTAAATATTACATACACAGATTTCTTGTTATGATAAATATTGCGAAAGTATTATTAACATTTTTTATAATT